TTTTCCTCCTCTTCTTGCTTCTGCCTGCCTTCAGTTCCCCACCTCCATGTAGCCCCAGCCCCCAATCCCCAGCCCCCAACATACTAATGCACTTCCCTTCCTTCTCTCACAGGGGCTGGAAGGGGGAGCCCACTCCTGCTCCCTTACCCTTTCCACTGCTCCTTACCCTCTGTAACTAACATGCAGTAGAGTGTAGGATGAAGTTAGAGACTGTGGAGCGACACTTATCGGTTTGGATTCTGTCTCTGACACTTTTAGCTTTGGTGACCTTAACCAAGTCTGTTCTGTGCCACTCTTACCTCATGAAAATTGGGGTACCGATAAGACCTACCTTGGGGAGTTGCTGTATTAAATTATTCAACACACATTGAGCATTCAGAGCAGTGTCTGGCACATAGAACATGCACAGTCTTGCTGCCATTTGTGTAATTAAGACAATTGGGTGGGAGGCCAGCCCACCGATCCTTGCCTGGGCCTGTGAATTCAGCAGGGCCCTGTAACATACCAGAAGTTGGAAGGACAGGAAGAGAGAAAACGTTGCTAGGCCTCTTTTTCTACCTATGTATGCTGGTCATTCGTTAAGCACCTGCTATGTACTGGATTAGTGGTTCTCAGAGTTGGAACCCCAGCTCTGCAGCACCAGCCTTTGCTCTTCCCCAGATGTTCTGAAGGTGGGGCCAAGCAGTCTCCGTTTTAAAAAACTCAAAGGATGCTTCTGGTGTGCTAGTGTAAGAACCAGTGCCCCAGATGTAAAAACATAGCCACTCTGCTGGGCACGGGGAATGTGAACTTGAGTAAGACCCTGTCCCTGGCTTTCAGGGAGCACACAGACTCCTGGGACTGACAGACAGCAACCGAGGGTGCTGAGAGGTCCAGTGGACACACAGAGCCCCAAAGGAGGGGTAGCCACATCTGCATTTTGGGGAGAGGGTTTGGAAAGGATTCCTAAAGAAGAAATGCTTGAACTGAGTCTTAGGAAGAGCTGAGGTCTCTTCTGGTTCTCAGTGAGGAGGGGAGGACATTCATAGGCAGATGAAGGGTGGACCTTACTCAAAACTCAACTTTTGAAACTGGAGGGGAAGGGTTTGTCCTCAGAGCACGGCTGATCCCCAGCACCTAGGGCGTGCCCTGGCTCACAGGTGACACCAGGAACTGCTTGAATGAACACAAAGCTCCTAAATCCCACATGTTTGATTTTCACTGAATCACTTCTTTTCAGCATAAGATATTAAAACAAATCAACAAACCTCCTTGTGAGTTTCTGCTTCACAGCACTATATTCCAGAAAGAAATTAACCGATGACCGGGTTGTTTAAGGCACTGTGTCTTGAAGCACACAGGTTGGCAGCAGGAGGTAGGTCACCATTAAAGCTGTGCTACCTCCGTAGCTCAGTGAGGCCCAGAGCACTTGCTTGACCAAACAAAGTCTTTCTGAACCTGTAAGTCTATCCCAGTGCGAATTATGGATGCTTCTCATAAACACACTTGTCCACACGACAGAAGCCATGGCAGGTTCCTCATTAAAGTGTGATGAGCTGAGTACCCCAGACAGCGAGCTTCCTTCTGCTTTAGTTAAGGTCAGCTCTGCATGCAGAACGGCTGGGTCTCCGGCTCTTCCAGGCATGCTCTCAGGAGCCGCCCTGTGCCAGCACTCACTCTTCTTTCTTCTGGATGCCAGGCATGCTTCACAGAGTCAGAAACGTCCCTAAGGGCCCCCTGCGTCTCCACACTGACCCAAAACCCGTCTGGCGGCCAATTCGAAAGCTACAATAGGTTTTGTGCCAAATTAGAGCCCCGCACTGAGGTTCCCTTCCTCTCAGCCACTTCTAAGGGAGCCCTCCGGCGGGATTGCCTCCCAGCATCCCCGCGGACCCGGCCTGGCTTTGTGTAACCCGTTAATGACATCTCTGGCTATCTTGCTCTGGCCTCTGATCTGACAAGGCCTCTGAGGAGAGCGGCTCTAACCCGTGTTCCTCATCTAATGCATCTAAGATCACAGGCACCGCAGAGGACAGAGGGACCTGGAGACCATGGCAACCGTCCCTCACCCAGTAGCCCTCTCCACTGTCTCCAAGGAGCAGGAAGCTTCCAAACACTGACCGAGCAAATGATGAATGGAAGTTAGAATACATGGCATTCTTAAAACAGAAGTTGAGATGGATTTTCTTTTACTTCTCTTATGCCAAATTTGACCTTTTAGATCAGGGGTGGGGAACCTTTTTTCTGCCAAGTAACCCTCCAAATTAACTTAGTAATGAAGCCAGAATTTTACTCTTTTCTCCATGTGATCTCTGAGTTTATTGCTGTGCAGGAATACTCTATGGCTAAGCAAACAGCCTTTCCAGTGTGGGAGAGCTGTTGTTAGGGAGCAGATTTGGCTGAAGGGTGGCTGGAATGTGTTTTAGAAGCATAGCCAATTTCATATCTTAAAGCAGCGATTAGAAACCTCAGTTTTCACATACTTAAGAAGAGGGAATGGAATGGGACTACAAGTCTCTCCCAGGGTTAAGATCTGTCAAGTTTAGGTCTTCTCCTCTGGAGCAGCATTAAGGATCTAAGGAGGAGGCGGGGATAGCTGAGGGCAGAGAACTCTGCTCACACACTCACGCAGACACACACACTCCCACAGAGACACACTCATACAGACACACTCACAGCGAGACACACATTTACACTCATTCACACAGAGACACACACACTCTCACAGATACACACCCTTAGACACATTCACACAGACACACACTCATAGACACATATGCATTCACATTCACAGACACACAGAAATGCACACATTCACAGAGACACAGTCACACAGACACACACACACATTCACATCCTTCTTCACATAGCTATCTTCATGACTGTATGACCTTTGTGTCTAGGTGCACATATGAATTAGTTGTGTTACTAGTGATAAACAGAGAAAAAATACTATGTAAGTTTTATAATACCACATGATAATATTTTTATATACTACTATACTTAAGTTTTGTGTTTGTTTAACTTTAGGAAAAATGGATATGGTTTTGAATAAGAGTCTGCCATTTTTTAGCACGTCATGTTTGCCCATTACTTCATTTCTTTGTTCTGCACAAGTTTATTCATCCACAAATGCATTCTCTGTGCCAGTTACTGGGTTAAGCATAGGGATGGCAGAGGGACGATCGCTTGTGATATGGTTATTTATTAAAATACCTTGAAAGTATTGACTTATAAAGTTGAGATAGAAAGAGGAGCAGGGCCGTGTAAGATCATCCATGAGCTTCCAGACAAGAATCATCACCTTTTAATAGATAGTTATTATTACCGTGACTACTACTGGCTGTCTCCAAACATTGTAAACCTAAGGATAGATCATTGAGTTGGATGTTTTGAACTCAAAAACTTTGTTCTTTAAAGTGTATTTTTCTGTTCATCTAGTGCTTCAATTTCCTGTAAGATATGTTTTTCTTTATTTCAATCCTTGCCCCAGGGGTATCCTAACAATTGATATTTTTGAAGAGAATATATTTTTTAAGTACCTTGTGCCTCTAGGACATTGCTGCTCTGAAATAGTCTGAAATTAGATTTTACTACTCCAGCTTTGCATTAATAGAAACCTCTAACAGCCATGTAGTATTTGCTACCTCAGGAATCCTATCTGCTCCTCACCAGTTCCACGTCTCCTGTTTCCCTCTCTTCATTTCGTTAGTGTGTCTCGGTAAGGAGGAAAGGGCTACAACTTATGAGTTAAACCAGTGGCCTTTGGCCAGTGGCCAGTGTTGAAGATAGTGTTGAATGAGTGCCAGCACCAATGGACAGGACATAAATTCTTGGCCTTTTGAATGCATCTAAATTGGGCTGGCGATAGGGTACAGAACTACTCCAGGGTGGAGAAAGGTTTCAGTTCACACACAGAATCTCCCATTTCATCCTGGGCTACTTACCGACTTCATTGATCTAAGGATTTTATTTTAGTTAACATTCTATGCGCTCAGTCATCACCATTTCAATGTATTTTACAAAAATGATTTTTCCAAAAGGTATTTCCAAGTTTAACTAAATGTAGGTAACTATGGAAATTGAGGTTTGATCTGCAGTGGGAGGGTGACTGCAAGTTCCAAGGGCCAAGGAACTCATTAGTGATGGTTTGAGTGAATGAGATGCAGAAGGGAGTTATGAGAGAGATAAATATCTATGGAACAGGTTAGTATTTTGTCAGGTTTGAAAACCTGAAGGAGGTTTGAAAAGCATCCAAGTTCATAGGAAGACAGCAGTTTTTGGTAGTTAAGGCTAATGTGAGGGTGCCACTGTGTTTGTAGACAAACTTCATCTTGTGCTGCTGGCTCTTATGAAACTGAGAATGCAGCAATTAGCAAAGAAAGAGCCAAAAAGTGAGGAAGGGTTAAAAAATAGGAATTATGAACAATGCTAAGACATACACATTTGGGAGAGGTATACTGACATTTTAAGTTGAAAAATAAGTCATGTTCAGGATTTCCCATTTGCTAGACTTTGTGTAAGAAACAAATTAAAGACTCATTGCTTTTGTTTTGAAGGAGTAAGAAAGTTAGAAAATATTTTATTTTCATATCTAAAACTATCACCTTGATAAGAGAGTAAGATATACTTTTGTTTGTTTTAGGTAGGTGATAGGTGATATGATAATTACATAAACTATGATTATAGGTAAAATATCATCCATACAATTATAGACACTATGAACAGAGAATTGCTTTATTTTTCAGAATTGAATTTCATAATAAGCTATCTCAGTTCATTGTAAAACAATATTATTGTTTGTCCTCAAACTTAGTGTCCCAATAAAAATTGTATTCTAAACTACTTAGGAGTCTATTTTGTGTTAAATTTTTAAAAATAACTTCACTTGCTCTTTGAATATAGCTACCAAATTTTAGGTGCATTATGAAAGAATTATCTTATTGCATGATTTATCTAACAGCACTGTTTGCTCACTTGTTCCAAGTAACTCTAACCCCTCTTATATTTTTGTTTAACAGCTCGGCTCATCCTCTTCGGTGCCTTTTACATCTATTTTTTCTCAGCTTTCTGTGACGGTCGTGGTTCCTCTCATTATCGGACAGGTAAGGTCTCCAATTCATCTGCTCTTTTTCCTTATAAATCAAATTGTGAATTCTTACAAAATGTCAGGACAATTGAGAAAAAGATAGAGGAAGAGTTAGTTAAATGAAGGTATAAGATTGTGCAACACAAGTTTTATCAATCACCATATTCTCGTTGTTGTTGTTTTTAGTTAGTGACAATATGCTTTACAGATAGCTATAGAAAAGGACACCTGGTCTATGGCCATAACACCCTGAACTCGCCCGATCTCGTCTGATCTCGGAAGCTAAGCAGGGTCGGGCCTGGTTAGTACTTGGATGGGAGAAAAGGACACCTGCCCACAATCTTGATTTTTTTTAAACATTTATTATTCCTTCTTTAGAGCTCTGTAGCTAGCTTAAAACATTTAGCAAACCGTTACCTTGTTCTGTGACCTCCGGTAAGGTCTCCGCATTTGGGGCCATTGCTGGGAGCAAGCATCTGTCCTTGGCTACTCAGAGCCTCCTCCAGCAGCAGGTATCCTATTTGTGATCGTGTAATTGGTAAAATAAACATTTAATTCTATAAGCTCTTACATTGGATCCTAGAAAATTTACTTTCCTTTGCCATTCTTATTGAATTGGACAATAAAATAAATTTGTACAAATTAATTTCTTATAACAAGGTTATAATGACCATGTAATTTAATTATAAGATATAGGTTTTAAAACAAGGTTGTTTTTCTACTCACAGGTAGCCACAGTAAAGAATGACAAAATTTAATGTGCTACTAAATGAGCGAGTTTTAGGAAAGAATATATTTGGATGATTAAGGGCATAGAGCTGGGTTTAAGAACAAGTAGGTTCTAGATTTAGTTCTACCTCTTATTTGCTGTGTGACCTTTGGCAAATCATTTGATCTCCTTAGCTCCAGATTAACCACTTATTAAATTACATAATAATAATGCCCATCTTAAAAGGTATCCAATGACATGGGGATGTGTATAAAGGTTTTGTCATTAAAGAGCCTGACACAGGTAAGTACTCCATAGCATCTGTCATCACAATCACTATCAAATTCCCTACAAATACTACACAGAAGGCAACTCTTAGAAATATTAACTATAAAAAATTGTGTATATACAGACATGCAGTATTTACAAGCTATCTTGGGTTAGGGTCCCTGGGAAATAAACACTGAGACCAATGTTTCCATGTGTGGAAGTACCCTGGGGCTCAGCACCTTCAGGAGGATGAAGGAAGGACAGGATGAGGAGGTGAACTATGACTCAATCCTGCGGTGTTTTCAACACATCCCCGGGGTGCCCTGGAGCTGAGAGAACCCCCAGACTGTCCTGCGTACTCCAGAGTGCCTATCTTGATCTCCTGTCCCTCCCACTCCCCATGGGAGGTGTGACCTTGGGTGAATCTGCTCGCTCAGCAACAACTTCCAAAAGAGCTCAACTGAGATCTTGCAGCCAAGCAAGCAGCCCATTCCTGAAGGGATGGAGCTGGGTGGCTCATCACAGCATCCACCATATAGGCACTGATCTTTTAGTTTTATTTTCATTTTGTACTTAGAAAAGGGACTGAATTTAGGAAAAGAGGGAAGGATTTTAAAGCACTCCCAAGTACAATTTGATTAAATATGATTGATACTTGAACAGTGCTGATCACAGAACAGGAATCTGAATAAATATCATTTCCCCCGTCTACCTCTCTAACTTCTTTGCCACATTTCCTACACTGTAGCCTTCCTGTCTTTTTCTCAATTCCTGCTTAATTTCTCTATTTAAAGTGTCTTTCTACCCACTGTCCCACCCCAGTTCATTGTTCATTTGACTCTTTATTCATATCTTCTTTGAACCACCTATCTGATTTCCTGATTGTCTTTATTGCAGCACCTCATTTGATTTCTTTCTTGTCCTTTTTCACTACTTTCTTACCACTTGTTTTCCTGTTAACTATTTGTCTCCTTGATTAGACTATAATGAGTATAGGAACCATATTTGTTTTGCTTACCATTACATACCCAGAGCATAGTCCCCCAATACATATATGCTGAATGAAAGAATGAGGGAGGGAGGGGATGAATGAGAGTTCTATGATCAGGGAGGGAAATGCTGTATCTTATAGAGACATAACAATACCTACCTGCCCTCCTCAGATCTAGACAGTTTATATTGTGGATAGTATTAGTTTAAACCCATACTTCTTTTCTTGGTTCTGAAAATAATTTCATATACTAGCCAGGGCTCATACATTCTTCTCTTAGTGGATCTTGGAAATATGTCTGTTAATAATAAATGTTCGGCTTAAAACATATGGACAAAGAAAATATCCTTGTCAGTCATTTACCTGTTTGTTTGTTTGTTGTTTTTTTTTAATGCAAATGGCTATATGATTTATATAATTAAGAAGAGTTAGCAAAAGAGAATAATTATTTGTTAAATTTCTTACCCTTTACATGCTCAATAGTAAAGTATTACAGTAAATTATAAAGTAATAAAAGTAACCAAAGGTAGTGCAAATGGTTCTTTAAAAGTACTCTAGGTATCAAAGTGCCTATATTTACATCTACCGCTCCCTCCTATATTCCATCCAGGCAGGCAGTGCCCCCATTTCCGCCTCAGAAATATTATGCCTGACATCTTCACATCGACACCTTCATCCTATCCTGTTTAAATGCACCTCCCAACCTGTCTCTGCTGTGAGCCCCTTCAGGTTCCGACCCAAGGTCGTTGCTGTCTATGGGGTGGTCCTGAAAACAAACCAGACCAGCTTATTCCTCTCCTTAAAGCATCTTGCTGCTCCCTGCTGCCTATTGCTGTGTGACCCACACAGCCCTTTGTCCTCTGGCCCAGCCTGCCTCTCCACAGGCACCTCCCACCCCTTCCTTTACACTCCTGTTCTGCCATATGCAGCCTCTGCGCCCCCCCTCCCCCGCCCCCGACTAGGCCCTTCAAGGCCCCATGCCTTTCATCTTACTGTCCCATTTTTCCTGCCAGCAAACTCCTACTCATTCCTCAAAACTCGCTACAGAGATGCCCTCTGACGTACAGCCCACCTGCTCTGTCTCCCCAGTTCCAGTTCCCCAGTATCTTGATGCATAATGTTTAGCAGGGGAGATTATACTTGATCTGTGCACCTCCTGGAAGCAGAGACTCTATTATAATAAGTATGTTTAATAGCACACTCCATCGTAGCGTGTGAGCTGTATAAAAAGATTACCTGAAGACAGCTCTGAATTTACCTTCACCGAGTCCCCAGCAGCATCTCCCTCGGGTCTCCAGCTTTGCTAGAGAGAAACCACATAGCTGGTCTCACTTTGTTTTAAATGCTTGAGCCCAGATGTAAAATGGCATGCAACACTTCCTAGACGTCTCACTCGACTTCCTCATAGGGTTATTCCACCCTGTCCTATATTTTCAAGCCCCTTCTACTTCCCCTAGCACTCTCCCCCTCGCCCATTGCATTCGGGGCTCACTGCCTTTGCTTCTGCTTCTCAAACAGGCCAGCCAAATCCTGCCTTAGACACTGCATCGTTGTCCTTGTGCTTGGAACACCTTCTCCCTCTCAGAAAGGAAAGACCTTTCCTCCCCCTCCCCCCGGCCCCCACCTTGCTCGCTATTGTCCAGTGTAAACCTCTGCCTAACAGGATAGTATCTGCTTCTTGATGTTTGTTGTTTTTGCTTTTTATTTATCTCCTCTAACCAGAGGGTGAGCTCCATGGACTAGGGACCCCTCAGGAGAGAAAAGTCATATTCCTGCTCAGCTGGCTAACTAGCTTTGGAACATTTTATGCAAGTTGTTTGGGCTCTGCGAGCCAGTGTTTTCAGCAGTAAACTGAGCAGGATAATATCTCTATGACCTTTCTCTTTACAACAATGAAGTAATAGTGGGGAAGAATATTCAAAAAGTAGATGATGGGTGCTTACTATGTTCATTTATTATTGTTGTTTATACTTTTTTTAAAATATATATTTTATTGATTTTTTTTTACAGAGAGGAAGAGAGAGGTAGAGAGTTAGAAATATCGATGAGAGAGAATAATCGATCAGCTGCCTCTTGCACACCCCCTACTGGGGATGTGCCCGCAACCAAGGTACATGCCCTTGACTGGAATCGAACCTGGGACCTTTCAGTCCGCAGGCTGACGCTCTAGCCACTGAATCAAACTGGTTTTGGCTGTTGTTTATACTTTTTATTAAGTATACTTTTTACAAAATATACATAGGATTTGATTGATTTGATATCCCAACTATACATTTCAACAGAATATTAATGAAGAAACAAAACACTTTATGAAAATTGATGGAGTCAATGGAATAGAGGATAAAAATTAGAAAAACAATCTGAAGCCACCTTGAAGAAAAAAATACATTTTAAAATTCAGACCTAACATGAAAAATTACCCACCTTATATCCCCACTCAAAAATCAGTTTATACAATAGATATAAACATCAGTAGGGGAAAAGGCAAGAAAATACCACGGGTAGGAAAAACCGAAACGGAAACTAGAGTGATCCATATTACATCTCTTGGTTATCTCTAAATATGGGCACTTGTCACCTAAGGTGTGTTTGTCTCCCAGTGTGCGTTGTGCGGGTCCTGCAGTAATTGATATGTGCTCAACTTGTTAGAAGTACGGGGAGACAGGGATTCAAGTTTCCCCTTAACCGTCACTGGTGCTTAGTTTAAAATAAAGAAAATCAAATACAAAAGGTGAGACAATAAAATCAAAAGCTGTGGAAGATTTTCCCCTTCTCTCTCCATAGGAAAAGGCAGGCAAGTCCATGAGAATTTGTGATGTGGCTTTGAATGCCTGAGTTTCCCTGAGCGCTGAGAGCAAACGAATGAGCACAGATTCTGAGGAGACACACTGGCCCCCTCATCAGAGTGCCTTTCCCCTTGTCTGCATATTGTTTTTCCCCAAAAGAGGGAATTCTTGGGCACCTGTCAGGTTGTGCTGAGCATCTCAAGCAAAGCCTTATTTCCTGTAGGGTTAAAAACATCCCCGTAAGCAGAGAAGTGGGGAATGACAACATGACCTGGATTCTTGACACTTGGAGAATGTATGGAAAGTGAAAGTGGCTGAACTAAGAGAAGGAGAGGTTTCCCGGAGTTTATATCCAAATCAATCTTTACGGCAATAGCGGTTCTACTTCACCCAGTCGCTTATGAAGCATTTTAACACTTTTCTGGCTACACAGGCCAAACACAGCTGCTTTGTGAATTTAATTTGAGAGGAAGATGGAAAAGCTCTATAGAGCCTGGCAAGGTATAAATTGGTTTACTTAGAAAACACAGATAAATATCACCGTAAGACTGAAAACAGTAAAGACGATTCGTTTTTCCTCTAGGGGTATTGTCTCCCTTGCCGATCATTCCAATCCCCAAGTGCTGGTTGTTTTCTTTATTGAGAGTAAGTGTCCAGGTCCAAGTGCTGACGGGTTCAGAGGAAACACATTTTAGGGAGGGGGACGGAGGACTCAGGGGCCTGTGCTTGCCACATTGAAGGCGGCATCCCCGCTCGGAGCCCCTGAGCACCTTGTAACAAAGAAAGAGATGATTAAGGCTAACCAAGTCCAACGCTGCTTCGATTAGAAATGTGTCTGGGCTTTGAAAATGCCTTTGACTTTCAGGCTATCTCTAATTCACATGTATTTGTTTATTTTGTCAGAGGGGCCATGGTGGAAAAGAAAGATACTTTTATGTTTGGAATTCGAACCATACATGCTATACTAACCTACTGCAGAGAGATCTTTGTGTTTTTAATCATTTTATTTCAAACAAGATTGGAGGACAACATCAGTTTTAGTATCTCCATGTCATTTCCATTTATTTTCCTTCCTAAGTGAGTTGAGTTGTGCTAAATTTGGGCATCTACCAGGTTTATGCTACCTAACACAATAGATTATGAAATGACCCTTTTTAAAAATATATATTTTATTGATTTTTTACAGAGAGGAAGGGAGAGAGATAGAGAGCTAGAAACGTCGATGAGAGAGAAACATCGACCAGCTGCCTCTTGCATACCCCCTACCGGGGATATGCCCGCAACCAAGGTGCATGCCCTTGACCGGAATCGAACCCGGGACTTTTCATTCCGCAGACCAACGCTCTACCACTGAGCCAAACCGGTTTCAGCTGAAGTGACCTTTTAAGTGAAGTTCCTCTTGCCTTAGAATAAGCAGCCCTCGTGCGCCCCCGCCCCCCACTACCACCACACATACACACAGTGTAACATGTGAACATGGACCATCTGGGTACCTTGAACTCTATTATCCAAAATTCACACCATTCTAATACATCAGTACCTAGCACTGGGTGACAGGCCGCTCTCATTTCACCATACCTCACCACACTGTAACGTTAAAGAAACGAACACTAGATAAATTACTGTGGTTTGGGATCACTTCTCAAAAACAACAGCGTAATTTTTAAAACTTTCTTTTTTTTTAAGATATATATTTTATTGATTTTTTTTTTTTTTTACAGAGAGGAAGAGAGAGGGATAGAGAGCTAGAAACATCGATGAGAGAGAAACATTGACCAGTTGCCTCTTGCACACCCCCTACTGGGGATGTGCCCCCAACCAATGTACATGCCCTTAACCCACATGTGTCAAACACAAGGCCCGCGGGCCAAATCTGTCCCGCCAGGCCTTGCAATGTGGCCCGCACCGCGCTGTCATCACTGCACTCCGCTGCATTTCCATCACAATGACAGTTTATGACTGTTCAGTAAACCATTTGGCCCGCGATTTAGGCTGGATTTTAGATTTTGGCCCCTTCTCTGATTGAGTTCGACACCCCTACCTTAACCGGAATCAAACCTGGGACCTTTCAGTCCGCAGACCGATGCTCTATCCACTGAGCCAAACCGGTTTCGGCACAATAGCAACATAATTTTTTATAAATTCAACTATAAATTTAATTACAACATCTACTTTTTTAAAAACTTGACCACTGACACTCTTTTCCCTTCATCACACCCCACCCGAGCTTCCTCTCTCTGCCTTGTGCCTGCGGTCAGCTCTCTGCCAGGACTCCATTTACTAATACTGATTTCACTCACTGAGTCCGGGAGAACAGACACGGTTTATTGAACAGCCATTTGCTCAAAGGTTTGTTCTGAGAGCGGTTTGTTTTGTTCCTGAGTACCTGTGAAGGTATGCCCCCTGGCAAATTAAGCCTTTTTAGTGGCAGCGGAGGATGCCAGAACCCCATCAGCCTTGTCAGGAGAAGTCCCCTGACCTCATTATTGCTAATGGATCATGGTAATTCAGCCTGTTGTGAAGTCTCATGTTCAATTATGCAGGATAATGAGTGACTCAAAACGTAATATGTCTCAACTGGGGTCCCTATTATAGGGCTTGTTCAGCTTCTTTCAAAAGTGAAGGGTTTTAAATAGTGGTTCACGCTTCTGTCCCAATGAAAATTATCACCAATTTTCAGACTGTCCCGATTTTAAATATCTGATTTGGTTCTAAAATATGAAAGGATTGCTCTATAACTTTCTATTTCACTGACCCTTTTTGTAGGACAGGTTTACTCATTGTTAAGTGTTAATTCTGGGATTCTGAAAGCATGCAAATGGCATTTGTCTTTGGCTTCACAAAAACTCTAGATATTCAGAGTTTGAATTATTTAAGCTCCCACAACACATGCACTTTTGCTTTTCAAGCATGAGTTATAATTTAATTAAAAACTTCTGGTGCGTTGCTAACATTTTAAATATTAATATGTTCCATGGATCACTTTCTATTATCTGCTGTCTTGAAATTCTTGAAGATGTCAGATTTTTAAGATTCCCAAAGTCGCACTCCGAATTGTCTGTTGAGGCAAAGGGGACTGTGATAATTACACACATCCATTAGGATGAACAGAGGAGATAAACTTTGGGGAGGCTTAATGGGCATGTCTTGATGACAGCTAGCAAAGAGCATTTGGCGTGATAAAGGATGGGTTTGAATGCACTTAGAAACATACTCTTATTATGGACACCAGTGGAAACTGCACCACAAATGTTAAGTTCCCCAGGAGAAGAGTGGGTGGCAGGGATGCTTTGAAATCCACTGTGGCCATCGTCCAAACTGCCCTCTTTCCTTTCAGCCTTCCTGCTGTCAGAATCGCTTTGAGATGCCCCATCCCACTCCCTGCATCTCTGAAAAGAGGCCACCTGTTGATCTCTGTGTTTCAGATCGTCCGAAGGTACATCAAGGACTGGCTTGAAAGAACGAAGCCTCCTTTCGGTGCTATCAGCAGCAGTGTGCTCCTCATGATCATCTACACCACCTTCTGCGGCACGTTCTCCAACCCCAACATTGACCTGGATAAGTTCAGCCTGGTGGTCATACTGTTCATAAGTAAGTGGGAGGCAGGAGACCTTTGCTGTCCCCTCAATAGCAGAGCATAGCATGTGTGTTCCCTACATTCGATTTAATGTTAATTTGATTAGAAAAGAATACTTAGTTTCATATTAAATGTGCTCAGTGACTTTACCAAGTACATCTGTTTTTTTATAAAAACATCAGTAATAATACTCATTTTCTTATTCTCCTATGACCTTTTATGTCTGATTTGCAAAAGTTGATGCCAGGTGAAAGAAGTCATAATATCTGTCCAATTCAAATGTTAGATTGAGCACTTTTTGCCAATTTTATATTATTATAACTTGAGCTACTCTTATTCATTAACATAAATCAAAAGTAGGATTTCTAATATATACTACTAGTACCCTGTACACGAATCTGTGCACCAGTAGGTCACTGCGGCCTTTCTGTAGCTCTCCCCCCCGCCACCCCTCTGCCCATCACCTCCTCATAGCTTGCTGCCCTGCCCCCTCCTATAGCTCTCAGCCGCCTGCTTGTAGTTCACTTCCCCACCCTCCTGCAGGTCTGTGATCCCGGCATTACACTGTTGGTTGTTACGCCTCACCGCATAACAGATAATTGTATACTTCTCTCTTTTTATATACGATTATTTTATAACAGTCGGTTGAAATGTGAATATTTATATCATCTTCCTATTACAGTATACCCAAAGTAATATCATTTCATTATAAGAAGTGGCAGACTATAAAATAGTTATGCACTCTGCTCAAAAATTTATTTATATGTTATCTATGGCTGCTTTCAATTAGAAGGTAGAACGGAATAGTTGCCATAGAGAGCATATGGCCCTCAAGCCTAAAGGTGTTTTTTTTTTTTTTTTAAAGATTTTTATTGGTGTCAGAGAGGAGAGAGAGGGAAAGAGAGAGAAACATCAATGATGAGAGAGAATCATTGATCAGCTGCCTCCTGCTGCCCCACACTGGGGATGGAGCCTGCAACCTGGGAGATGAATCATGACATCCTGGCTCATTGATCGATGCTCAACCACTGAGCCATGCCAGTCGGGCCCTAAAGTATTTTTTATGTGGCCCTTTAAGTAAACTTTGCTGACTTCTGCTCCAAACTAGAGATGGCAGGAAAGGAGGGGGGGGGGGTGTCCCTACTCTTTAACCACAGAAGACGCCAGTCTGGACTTAAAGGTCATTTAATCCTGGCTGTTTTTTTACTTCTCAGCCTCAATCGAGGCACCAGCAGAGCTCAGGACAATATTTTAAAATGTAGTAAATAATTCAAACATGGACTGTTAACCAAAAAAGAAAAAGAAAAAAGAAATGAAATGAAAAGAAATATTGTGTTCTATTTATCCTGTAATACCAAAGACAACTTTTGGTAATTGTAATATCAAAGAATTTTATGTTATTAAAAATCAAGATGAGTTATTCCAAAATATTTATTATGTCCTACCACACTTACGCTATGTGCTATAAATATTCATAGTATAAGCCAGTTGGCTCTAAACTGTACAAACTTAATAACCAAATCTTAAATCAAACAAGGTTTTAGATTTGCCATGAGTAGTAGACCTCATAGATTGCATCTGGGGATATCTTCAATAAGAACAGGTTGAATCCCACTAATTTAAATGATTGTATTAGTTCAGCAATTTATGCTTGTTTGTTTTTCTATTTGAATTCCCGTTAGTTTCAGATCAAACTAAGCATACCAGTAAATATGCTACAGACACGGCTTTTATAGTGCTAATGTAGACTCAATCCTTTTTTCTCCCCAGTATTTTCTATTCAGCTGGGTTTTATGCTTCTAACCTTCATCTTTTCAACAAGGTAAGTGATTTGGTATATTTTGTTGGTTGTGCTTTTCTAAATGAAGATGCATGCTCTTGACTTGACTTCTGTGCCACCATGCTGTTGCAGTTTTTCTCCTGCCCGCCTGGCTGTTCTTTTCCACCTTGCTCCTGCTGTCCCCCAGGGGAGACCTGAGGAAAGGACCTGCCCGTGGCCCTTGTCCCCTCTGTTCACATCGTGTGCTTAGGAGCTCCTCCGTTCAACTGGTTCGAGCAGTGAGCTGATGAATGTAGAGACAGACCTGCCCTTTCATTGTCTGTCCTGAGTTCCAGCATGACTCACCCCTTACCATTTAGATAACTTCACCCCATTGTCATCATAACAGCTCACACTCAAGATGTTCAGAATGGGCTCCATCTTTTTCTCCAACACTTTCTCTTTCTCTCTCATTTGTTTATTTAGTATTAATGGAACCGTCATCCACAGAGGTACTCAGGCTAGAACCCTTCACATCGTTATTATTTTTTTAATCTCTTGATCCTACTTTAGGAATACTTTTTGTGCTTCCAAAGCCACTTCCCTCATTCAGGAGTTTTTACCTCTTCATGCCCTAGTCTATTGCAATGGAAATCTTACTGGTATTTTCACTTCCAGACCTGACTTCTCAGTGCATTTCATACTGCTTCAAATCACTCAGAGTTCTGACAGTAGTGCTCATATTCCAAGAGTTTCATTCGTTATCCAGAGCCCGCAGAGTGAAGCTCACTTGGAGGGGAAGGGGGATAAGGCAAGGCCAGTCCCATGAACCACCACTGGCAACCTTGCTGCCAAGTTTTAGGTTGAGGTAAAGGCTTTGTTGTCCCTTGAAAGAACCTCCTGCGTTCTCATGCCTTGCCTTTGCTAAGGCTGTCCCCGTATCATAATTGGTCTCTATACCTTTGTCTAACATCAGAAATTATGTAAGCCTTTGGTTTGAGAAAGTTACCATTGCAAATGCCAGAAATAAGAAAGACTTCTGATCCTGAGTGGGTTACAGGCTAGATATATGCATGGATAACTACCTGTCCTGAGTGGCACAGTAAGCCAGTCTTAGTCCATTCAAAGAATAAAGCACCTCCACAGACAGTAACAGAGCATGGCTTCCTGAAAGAGATAGGGTTTGATCTGGGTCATGAAGAATGGCTAGTTATTCAGCAAACAGAGAGCAGAGAGGGGGTTCTTAGTGAAAGAAGAAACACCAATGCAGATGTGGGGGACACACACACACACACACCGAAGCACGCTGGGACAATAGGAGTACAGGGAGTTTAAAAGTAATGCTATTTGGAACGGTAAGCTTGGGACAGATTGCCAGCCCCTTGGATGCCAGGTGATGCAGTGAGTCGCCACAAGGGAGGGGCCGGCTCCCTTCATGAGGCCTGTTAGTGTCGGGGCAGCAGAGGGCTCAGGCCTCGTGTTAGGCAGCTGGCCCATGGCACTCAGTACAGCAGGAGCTGATTGTAAACAGTCAATAAAGACTTCCTGATTTGTGTAACCTCAAGCATTCTTACCAAGCCTGTGTTGTGATTTATGAGTAACAGTAAAGCCTAGAGCCAATGAGTTACCAAGAAAACGTGACTCATTTAGGTAAGCCTGAGAGTTGGAGCTATTTTAAAAGTGGTTTTTTGTTATTGTTTTGTTTTTTACAAATGGCTTGTTAGTGCACCTCAGAAAAGGCATGTGCCCTTCACTGGCTGTTTTGCTGGTCTTTGTGGCAGAGTGATCATCGGGCCACTCCACCTGTCCTATCAGACTAGGTAGGATGCCATGCCTGTGAGTGAGGGACTGACAAATTCTTGAAAAACACAGAATAGCCACTATTGGGGCTGCTGCAGGAGGACTGGTCACATCACAAATAGTTGAATGAAAACTGAGGATTTTCAGCCTGAAGCAGACTGGACTTTCATAAGGCCTGTGGTTTCAAGACCCTTCTGTTCTGCCTTGTTCTGCCTTCACTGAAGTTCTATTGGGTTTTGAATGTGCTTGGCCCTGTGTCAGGCATCACATTCTTTGATAAACAAGACCATGGAGTGACTGTAATTGTGCTCCTGGGTAATGGGTGTGTAGCCCCAAATATCCCATTAACATTTGGGGATTTGCAATTGGACAAGATTTAGTAGATGGTTTTCACTCCCCTCCTCCCCCATGCTGAGAGCCTTATAATGCCTGGAGATTTTATTGGAGGAATGAAAATTACCAACATTTAGTGAACCTGCTCAGGGCCAGGCACTGTGCTAGGGATTGTGCATGGTTATTTCCTGTAAGTCTGACAGCAAAGACTATGATCCTGGGCATTTTTGTTGCTGTTTTGCAGATGAGAGCCCACTCTTGGAGCAGTTTGGTTTAGTAACTTACCCAAAATCAGATGACAGATGGCACACCCAGCATTGAAATCCACTGCCATTGACATTTCCAAAAGCACTGGCCCATGCTTTTTCTACTGCACTAAATAAACTACTTCAAGTTCTTTAAAAATTCATAACACTTCTTTTGGTTAGGGAATTTTTAGAGAATATTTAACTGAATTCTTCAGGTTTACACAGAAACACACACAAATTAATCAAAGACACCAAAAATTGGAACTAATACCCAATGGGTTATATGCTGTTGAATTTAATTTTCTTTTCCCACTGTTTGTTCCTTTCTACTTAAAACTGGGGAAAGTGGCCTGTGGGTTGTTGTTTTTTTCTTTTTTTCTTTTTTTCCCCTTATCAATTCAGTACATCTCAATCCAATACAGTTATTCGGACACAAAAGTCTCAGCATGGAAAGCAGACTTTTTGTACAATGTCACTGACCTCCGAGGATGGAAGTTTAGTTTAATCTGGAGAGACCCACCTAGAAAATCCAACTTCCCTGCAATATTCTGCTCTCTGATTTATGCCGCTTAGCCTAATGGACATGGCATGTGAGCCTCCTTGGCTCCAAGTGTTTAAAATATATTTGAGAGTATGAGTGTGTTCCTACCTCTCTGTCTATAGAATAGTATATTAATAGTAACTGTAACTTTTGTCAATTTCCCCAATTATAAAAAGGAGATAGTAGTAGTACTATCTCATTAGGGCATTTGGAGAATTGAATAATATGCACACAAAGCCCTCAGCATAACACCTAGTATATAGTAAGTGTTCATTAAATGTTAGCTACTACAGAATACTTATTATACCAAAATAACATTTATTATACCAAAATAACATATTATTTTAAGAACTAATGATGAAAGAGAGGGAATTAGCATTTCTGGTTTTGTAGTACATTCTTTTGGATGCAAGAAAATGAGAGTTTATTCATCAACCCAAAACTCAGCTGTCCATGGTGACCTACACTTTCTACAACTTTGGAAAGCTGTCAAAGTTAAGGAATAAAATTGTTGAAAAGGCTTAGAAAAATAAAGCAGTCATTGGGAGCCTTTTAAAAATATATAAAAGACAGTTTGATAAGCAGATAACAGGAATAGAAACCTAGAATGTCACTAGAGTGACAAAAGAAAGCATTAACAAGGGAGAAGGAAGAAAACAAATATTCAAATATTTGTGCAGGTCTTTTAATCTCCGTACATTTTCAATCCCAGGTCTCCATGGGCCTCTCTCTACAGGGTGGGAGGGAGAGAAGGAAGACAACCTTGTGGTTAATGATAAGTCTCTTACCATTTCAGAGACGAGGCAGCGGAGCCACAGAGCTCTGGGCAACTCTTTATGCTGCTCAGCTAATGACAGAGGAGGTCACCTCCTAAAATGAGTGAAAACAAAGCACAGGTCCAGAGGTCAACAAAGGAAAGCATTTCACGTGGATGTTCCCTCTAACAGCACTCACACGGGACTCTCTGAGGAGCTTTTCTGCTCCACATTCTGTGACTCTCCCTGTAAAACCTCTGACATGTTTTCCTTTGTGGGGACTACAGAGGGAGGCAAACGAAATGCTGTGTGGGAAATGTGGATGGGAAGGAAAGGAAATAAACATCTCAAAGGAGGCCAGAGGGATCAAAAGAATTATAAAACCACAATAAAAAGAAAATATTAAAAAGACATAAGGTCGAATCAGAAAATAAATAGTAATGTGATTCAAAAGTGTGAGCAGACACAATAGAGATGCTAACCGCTGAAAGTCATTACCGTGTAAGTGCAGAGCACAGTATGGCTGAGGGAAGGTCACTTAACAAGAGAGCAGCTCTCACCCACTACATTGATGGTGGGTTTTTGTTTGGTTGGTTTTTCTTTGGTGAATTTTTTTTTTTTTTAATAATTTTCTTCTCAGAGGTAAACTTACCTCCAAGACGTGGGGCAGCCTATTTTCTAGTTGTGTGACTTGCAGTTGTGTTTCGAGTTCCCTTTGTGGAAAAAGCCCGGCAATAATCCTAGCTACCTTAGGAGGCTGTCCAGAGAAGAAGTCCAGACAGCGAAGTGCTTAGAAAACAGTCAGCATTTCCTGCTGTGGTTACCCATCAGCATCAGCAACATTGTGAGTGACCGCTCTGTTGGTTTTCCCCAAGGTCCGAGATGTGAAGTGGTCTGTTACTTTCTAAATAGGTAGAGGCCAGCCCTGTTTAAGGGGAATATTGTTTCTAACCTTAAACAAAATATTCCACTTGTTACTGATCCTCCCTCCTGACGGCAGATCGTGTCAGCAGAGCCACAGGCCAGTTTCGCCTAAATCAGGCCTGTCACTGCCCAGTGTGGGCCCGGCTATGATGCTTCCTGGAGCAGGGGCAGGGGCGTCAGCACGTCCCTGCAGACATACTCCTTAGCCACTGTGCACGCTGCTCTGGCCAGTGGCAGCCGCACCAGCGCCTTCTTGGCCAGAGAGATGTAGACACATTGGGAATGTGCTCTAATCTGGAAAGGAACAAATACTAAGCAAAGCCAAGTTCCCCAAAAAAGAGGGTATTGTCAGACTCTGGGAAGAAAACCCAACTGCGCGAATCCAGATGCAGCAACCACTGGATATAAACGAGGGAGCGAAGAGCTAGAAGGAAAGGCCTCTGTAGGGTTGCAGCCCCAGACTGGCTGGGGCAGTCCACCTAGCCCTGCTGGCTACGCTGCATGGTCTGCAATCAAGGTGGCATTCGTTCACGCATAGTTGACCGTACATTCTATTCCCGATCTGCCTACTTCAAGCTTTTCTAATTTTTTAGGTTCCCAGGCCTCTGTGTTACCTCCAGTTCTCTATGGATGAGTGAAGTGCCTCACCCTTTACATAGAAAGTAAAATCTCTGATATAAATTGCCTCCATTTTCCACTTCTTCCCCTGGAAATTTTCTGTAGTTTTCACTCACCTTGTCTTCTCTGTTCCCAGCTCAGACCAGAGGAAACCACCCCTCAGAGGCTAAAACCCTTGTCTCATCCTCTGGGGCCTCTCTGAGGACCTGGCCTCACCCATTGTTTCTCCTGCTGCACCTTCCCTCTCTAGGTAATCACATTCCCATGGCCCTCTTCTTCCCTTCACCACATTTCCTGGACACACTCTTCCCTCTCGCCACTTCCAATTCCGTGCACCTGGACATCAGCTCCTAGGCTCCTCCCAGACAGCACTGGGCCCTACCATTCCCCCCTTCCCACAATGCCTTGATGCCTTTCTCAGTCCTGCATGCTGAAAGCTTCTCATTTCTTTGATCCTTCCTCCTTTGACAAAGCAACAGTAACAGTAAAATAACTAGCAAGTACTAAGCATTTGCAGCATGCCAGATTCTAAGCAAACATTGGCCTTTATCCTGACAGTGGCCCTCAGAGGCAGGTACTATCATCCCCATTTTATGTCCAAGCAGAGGATGGTCTGAGTTTAGCTTCTGGTGCATTTGCCCCAAAAGGCTGTGCTCTTAATCTCTTGGGAGGCAACATTTATTTCACAGAGGCCAACACTTGACAAATTCTCTTAATTCTGTCTTCATGTCTCATCCTGCCACCTCCTGCCCCCGCTGTGGTTCTTCCTGCGTCCCCTCATCATCTTCAGTCTCACACCGCACTGTGTGATTACTCCTCTTCCTCCTCCTGGCCCCACTTATCAAGGCCACACTCCTGGTCACAAGCCAGTGTCCCTGCGCGCAGTCAGCCCGGAGAACCTGCACATGTCTCTACCTGTTCTAAAGGCCAGCCCTCTAGCTGTTTCCTTCAGGAGGGTTCTTCGTGCTCCATCACCACCCACTCCCTGCCCAGCTTGAGAGAATCCTGGCCCCACTCCAAATCACCCCCCCCACCCCTTGTTCTTTCTCTTTTATGGAGTACATACCTGTCTTCCCTTCCCATTCGGCCTCCATGATGAATGAGGGGATCAAGGACTATGTCAGCCACGTAGTACAATATTTACAGAATAAGAGCAGGCCCTAGCCAATGGATAGAGTGTCAGTCCACAGAAGGAAGGGACCTGGGTTCAATTCTGGTCAAGGGCATGTACCTCAGTTGTAGGCTCGATCCCTGGCTCTGGTTGGGTAGGGAGGGGAGCCAAGCATGCAGGAGGCAACCAATCTATATGTCTCTCACATCAATGTTTCTCTCTGTCTCTCCCCCTCCTTTACACTCTCTCTTAAAAGTCAATGGAAAAATATCCTCAGGTGAGGATTAACACCAAAAAAAAATTTTTTTTAAAATAAATAATAAGAATGGTATCATAATATAAATGTGGGAATGGCAAGGCAATCTTATTATACTCAAGTGACATAAATCCATGGAGGATTTTCAGCTGAGGGGGGACACCAAAAATGCAGTTTGGAAAGTTGTTATCAGAAAAAGAGCTGGAGTAAGACCGTTTAGGAAGCATGAGCACATGGGACGTTTCAGAGGTGATAAGACCGAAGGGTAGTTAAATGCTGTCAACCTGGTAACAGGACAGGGATGATGTGCAGGAGACAGCCCATCTCCCTCCATCCTGTTTTTTCACAGAGAAAACAGGATGCGGGGATTTGTTTAGGGAAGACTGCTCTCCCAATGGAAGTCATATGTGAGGCTGACTTTACTGAAGGAAATGGTGGTCTCTCTTTTTTGTGGAGATCCTTAAAAACTGGATAGGGTGCTCTACATCTGCAGCTGTATGCACGCTACTGAGTCTAGTGCATCTTTCCATTTGCTGACTCTTGTCTGGGTCCAGGATAGGGGATGAACGGACTCACTGTGGCTTCACACCCTCATTCTTCAGGAAGGAATCGTCTCTAACATGTCAAGGACACAATGATAATAATGACATTTCTAGCCTTTGTCCTGGTCTCTAAATTTTTATAATCTGAAACAGGAAATCTGAATGTGGTATTCATCAGTACTAACCCCCATACCATTCAATGGCTTTTGGCTAAGTGAGCGTTTTCCATGCTTAACACACTTATATGGCAGTAGTAGGACATAGCAGTTAAGAGCATAGGCTTAACTTAAATCCTGGCTCGGTCACACCCTGGCTATGGGGTGCTGGGCCCCATGAGCCTGCTCTGCCTCAGTTTTCTCCGCTATGAGCAGGGATGGGTTGATCTGTTTATATGCAGAGGCCTGAGAGGAGGCTTGCACTCCTAAAAAATGATAATGTTTTACTAAAACCTGTGATGTTGAGTCTTTGTTCATACCACACGTTTCTCAAAGGACATATTGTTCACTGAGTGAGGAGTTTAGCAGACACAGTGACTCTGTCAAGCAGCAGGTTGCTATCAGGTGATAGCCTCGGCACTTAGCCAGCACTGCCTCCAACGACTTTCCTGGAGTCCTGCGCCACCAGCTGACCACATATGTGATCTTAGGAGACCACCATCCATTTTAAAACCGTCTCCCTTCCAAGGAGAAGTGACTCGGAAATGATTCTCTGTAAAGATATTCAGACATTTGGGCATAGAATTGCTTCTGTCTCCAGAACTGGTTAAAGGGATGTAACACAAGGGTGGGTTCTATGTTTGATTTAGTATATGTTAAATAGGCTTTTAATGAAAGTGTTCATAAAGCACTGTTTTCTCTTGCCCCTAGGAATAATTCGGGTTTCACACCAGCAGACACTGTGGCTATCATTTTCTGTTCTACACACAAATCCCTCACTTTGGGTAAGTGATTCTCACAGCTTCAGATAGTTACATATTATGAGTGTGAGATTCAAGCAGTGCTTCAGATTAAATGGAATGGCATATCATCCACTTGGTTAAAGGACAATAGCAAAATGAGAATAGGCCATTGCTTTGAAATACCATTATATGATTGAACCAATTTTGGAGGGCCTAAGTTTAAAAATGTAGGATCTAGCTTAATTTGTAAGATGTTTGATTCTCATAAAAGGTTTTCAATGTGGAATGTTAATGTTAAAAGCTGGGGGTAGGGGTGCACAATGGGCAAAAACTCAGCTTTGAAAGGCTCTAGAGTTGCCCCTGGAAAATATTAACTTATTTTCTGGAAGCTTGGGGCAAGGTGGAAATAACATTATTTCTCTAATTGGATATTGACCTTGATTTGAAGTTCATTTCAGAATGTTATGTTGTGTCGATTAAGAAACACATTATCATTATTATTAACTCAATTTGATTAGCATCTAAAGTGAAATAAGTATTTATTTAATGGACAAAAATAGATCAAGAAGGAAAATGCTGTTCTCTACTTAGCTTTATCCAGTTTAGTGGCATTATCCCAATAACATGTGGAGGTATCCAGAATCCATGTTTCTAGTCATTAAAAGTCATTAAGTAATCAGGACTTCATTGAAATATACATCACTCATAAACTCTTTGAGCTAATAGGCACATTCTGGCAAAAACTCGTAGGAAAACTACTTTTCATTTTGGCTTGCGACTCACTGAAGAGAAGGAAGAATCATGACGTGCTGTGAGTCTGTCTGTTCATGTTCAAGTTCAGTCTGAACCTAGAAAACGGAGACAATTCATAATGTTTTTGCTAACCACCCCATCATATTTGTCTGACCCTCTCTCCAAGTTTGGAAAGTGATTTAGAAATTGGACAAACTTTTTGAGGAGCAGTTACTATCTAGGGATTCAGCTAATTTTAAATATACTGTTCATACATTGTAGGATGGTTGGTTGGTTTTCTTTATAATCAAGTTCAAAGTGAAGTTGAAAGACCTTTGAAAGCCACATTCCAGTCCTGATTTTGTGACCCTGGACAAATCACTTAAACTCCTGAACCTCAGCTTTCTCATCTATAAAATGGAGTGGTGTAATACTTTGTAAGGCAGTTGTAAAGATCAAAATTAAATTTGTTCAATAGCTAGCACAGTGCTTATATGTAACAGGTAGTCAGTTCATGCCAGAATGTATGTAAATTGCTATGGGTTAAATGAGCTGGCCCGGAAGAGTTAGTGTGCTGCCTGGCACCTAGCGAGTAGGTGTATTACTAGTTAGTAGTTACTTTTACCTGTATTAGTTATGACTGTGTTACCATTCCCAGTCTGTCTTGTAGATTTTCATGTAACAGGTGTGGTTTAATGGTTGACCTCAACGAAATCATCTGACACTCTTCTCCCCATGTGGTTATTGTGATGTGATGTCTGGATTTCCCGGTCTCCTAAAAAGGGTTGTTATAAAGGTGGGGAGTCCAGAGGTGGGTGCCTACAAATGTCTCAGATGTCCCAACATGGGGTCTCCTGAGCCTGTGTCCCTCGAACAGATGCTGAACCATGGCATTTCTGCAGGCCCTCCCCTCCCAATGGGGCATTGTTTGGTTTCTGCATGTTCTCTGTGCTGGAGTTGGCTGTGTTGAAGGATGAACTCTTTCCCCCAAAGCACACAATTAGCCTTCTCTTCTTCTCTATAAGCAAAACTCCTGTTCCCTCTTCCTTTCTGACTCTCCTTTCCATAATCCCAGGGCCATACTCTCAGTTCTTGATGCTTTCTGAAAACGAACTTTCAGACAAACAGGTAGGTGCTCTGCACACCAATCAGATGTAGCTGTTTGTTGAAAAAGGTTGGGGAAACTTGGACTTGTTTGTTTTTGCAGTGTCCTCTCCTGAAACAGGTACGTAGATTCTCCAATACAAAACTAGTGTAGTTACCTACATAACCATGGAGTGTAAATCCTTAGTTACTTCTGTAACATGACAGACTCAATCTCTCTTGGAACTATAAAACCCAAGTACTTATCCTGACTCTTCCTCTGGTACCTCCCAGGCCTGTTTCCTTAGCTCTCACATCAGAGACTTTAGTTCCAACTTGGCTATGTTATCGTGCCTTGATCACACCTGGCTAGCATTTATAAAAATGGCCTCTTTGCCGCTTCGCTTGTCTCAGGAGCCTCCTTCTTTTCCCATTTAGCAAAGGGGCATTTGGATCCTATTGCTATTGTAGAATGGCTTTGCTACACCCTATAAATTTACTGTGTCTATTTTCACAAGATCAAGTACATGTTCCCTCTCCTGGTGACCGACGTCACTGGTACAGAGGATGCGTCACAACAGTGGCCCGATGCAACTTCTATCTGCCAGGACATGAAAGAACATCACAATAAGTGCGAGCAATTCATATTTCAGAATGAAGGAGGAAACTTCAGGTAATTTCACTTGGAGCTATAGCTTCACCTCACACACACAGCTGAAATACAGCAGATTATATAATATCTACTTGGTATTTAGAATATATACCCATACCTATGGCAGTCACTAACATAGTATTCTCCAAGTGGTTTTATACATACACACACCCCCTCACACACACTCAGCATCTCAAATAGAATGCTTATGAATACCATTCATTATTACATCCAGTTTTCGTATTTATTAATCAATCATTGCAGTCCAAGTGATACCCATGTAACTACAGAACCAAAGGTGAAAACTTTGTGTGAGAAGCCTTCTGAATGCTGTCTTGTATGTACAACTCTCGATTCATTTTATTTGTTCTTGCTCTTGCCCTGTCTTGATCTCCTTCATGTGCTCGCACCTACACGCATGCTGAATTTGATTCATTGCTTTTATTAGTGCATTTGCCATTGATTGATTAGTTCTTCGTATTAGTACTTTTTCTATTGATTGATTGCAGATGAAGTGACTATTTGACCTTTAATTATGAGGCTTCCTATTGAAAATGACATTGAGCTATGGCTTCACGTAATCCATCTGGAAAGCCTGACGTGATGCCATTCCCCAGAGCTCGTTGAGGAAGCAGGAGGAGGCTCCGGAGGAAGTGCAGACTATCAGGGGCTCCGTCGGAAACAATCCCACCGGCTTGTCCGTGTGCTCCCGTGGTTTCAGCTCAGGGCCGAGATAATCTTACATTCTGTCAGGAGCATCCCTTGCTGTGGGCTGCCCTAAAGGCCGTGGACTCTCCCAGAGCTTCTCCAGCTTGACGCCGATGTTTGTACAGTAACCAGAGCTGTTTCACACGCAGGGACCGAGAGCAGCTAGTGCCCTCGTTAACATGGCTGTGCGCACAGTGGGTCAAAAGACTGCATCAAGAAAGAAATTCGATCCCAGGTGCCCTGTGAAATTAGTGTTTTGTCTTTCCTCTTGAGTATTCAAGCCACTTTTGTTATCTAGAGCAGTGTTTCCCAACCTTCTCTCATGATGAGAATCACCTGGTGGAGTTGTTAAAACACAGATTCCGGATCCCAACTAAGAAGTGCTAAACTAGAATTTTTGGGAACATATAGGTAAAATTGTATACTTAACTAGTGCTCTAAGACAGATTTTATATACAGAGCACTAAGTTAGGTATGCAATTTTACCTATATGTTCTCAAAAATTCTAGTTTAGCACTTCTTAGTTGGGATCCGGGAATCTGTGTTTTAACAACTCCACCAGGTGATTCTCATCATGAGAGAAGGTTGGGAAACACTGATCTAGAGTTCTAATAGATGTAGGAAACTTCCTCACCGTACCTGGAAAGAGAACGTTTCAGGGTGTTTGAGATCCTTCAGTGAAGTGTATGTTTGTATTCGTTTTTAATGTTTTTAAATGGCAAAATGAATGCATATACTCTGAGAACATGTCAACTGACAATTGGCAGTCCGGTGTGAGGTTCCTGTTTGTTTCTTATTTTCAAAAGCATATCTCAGTGACAAGAATGCTATGTAAGTGTTAAGTAGAGTGTCATGATCAACGCTTACTGCAAGTCCAGTATGTGTCTCACCACCTATAGACTCTCTGTACAAAGGCGAATCAAGCAGCTCTTCCTCCAACATTTATATCCATTGTGAGTCTGTAGCTGAGCTGTGACCAGAAACAATACACTAAGCAAAAAGAATATAGCTTTTCTGTAGACAACGGCTTCTGGAAAGAGTAGAAAGAACCACAGACCTGAGTCTAGTCAGGATCCAAGTTCCGGTTCTCTCACCAGCAGCTGGACCACATCCCTGAACTGCTGTGGCCTCGGTTTCCTCGGCTGTGAAATGAGCAGGTGGCCATGAGCTTGAGGTTCCTGCCAGCTTCAGGTGTCTGCACCTGCACGCATCAGCAGATGTCTCCATTCTGTAGGACAGCAGTCCTCCTGCTCCATGTGAAAGGAAACAAGTACTTAAGAGGAAGGGTTCTGTGAGTGATGTTACAGTATTACAGGAAAGGAAATCCGGCTGCCGCTTCTTCCTGAAGATGAGAAAATACCATAATACTCTGCAAAGATGTTCAGAGGAGAAACAAAATTTGAAACAGGTCTTAAAATATATATATATAATTTCAGAGAGGAAGAGAGTGAGAGAAATAGATATAGCAGTGATGAGAGAGAATCATTGAGCAGCTGTGTTCTGCATGCCCCCTACTGGTTATAAGATGGGGATCGAGCCAGTAGCCCAGGCAAGTGCCCTGTCTGGGAATAGAACCATGACCTCCTGGTTCATAGGTCAACAAGCAAACACTGAGCCACGCCGGCCAGGCTGAACTGGTTCTTGTTTTCAGTTTTACTTGGAAGCTTTTCAAGAAGGTTAAACGATTCCCTGCAACTTGGGCTGAAAGGATCATTTAATAGCATCTAGGTTATTTTCTCAAGTGGAAATGGAATTGAAACACCAAAGTTTGCCTTTCTTTTTTCTTTCCCCTTAAAGCTTATCTGTGATTCCACTTGGCACATGAAGATTATTATCTTAATAAAACTACCCTTCCTACAATTGGGAA